AACATGAAACTTCTAGGAGAAAACAGAAAATGTTCAAGACTTTTTGGTTAGTTGGAGAATTCCTCAATTAAACAACAAAAGTTGGATTCATTAAAAAACTGATAAATTGATTTATCAAAATTAAAGATTTTGCTTTGGGAAGACACTGTTAAGGAAATAAAAATGACAAGGTAGCTGTTGGGAAGAGTAATTTACAAATTACATTTCTGACACAAGACTTATATCCAGATAATTATACTGAACAACAAGAAAATCCAATAAAACTAGGTAGTTAAAATTACATCTGCAAACACTTGGACACTTTAAAATTCTATTTGTATTTCTGTGTTTTTTCCAGGCAGTAATGGGTCCAAACATAACCTCTCATCAATTTGTATTTGTAGCATATTATTTAACTTTGGAATTAGACTTTTGATCTGTTAACCTTTGGTGTGCTTTATGTTGACCCCCCAAAAAGTTAGTTTTCTTTAAATTCAGGGGATAAATTTCATATAAGTCCTTAGTAAAGAGACCACTTTTTCCATCAAATAAAATTGGTTCTTTAAACACACACACACACACACAAATTACAAGTTCCTGAGGCACCAAAATTTATTTTCTCATCTTTTAAACAACAAACCCTGGGCGTGAATCACCGCATTTGTAATCACCATATTTCCTCTTTTCCCTGCTACCAAAACTAAACAATTCTGGAACATAATGATGAAAGAAATTACCCTTGTTTTCCCTTTGCTCATATTTCTTCATTTATTTCTTATCACCTGGTACCATGTTTTTGTAAGTAATTACAAATCATATTTCGGAACAATGTGAGGTATAACAAACAAGCAAAGAAATTCTGTATGAAAGAAATCCTATAAAGTTGGGTTATTTAATATTTAACCCTCTTTTTCCAAGTGATCGCCTGTCTTTTTTACCCAAAACCTTACCTGCTTAGATCATATATCTCTGCTGGAAACAGGAGAGAATAAGCCGTGATTTCCAGCACTGTATCCAGTTTGTTCCTAATGACTACACTCTTGTCTGGATCTATTTTATTTTTTATTATAGTACTTCTCACTGCCTGACTTATTAGACAAAACACAAATAAATGCCTCCTTCCAGTAGACTTTAAGCTCCAATCTCCAGCACCTAGAACAGTGTCTGGCACACAGTAGATGCTCAATAAATATTTGTGGAATGAAAGACTGCCCAAGGCATTTCTTGGTACTTCATTCCCTCACATTCTTCCAGTGATCCTGGCCAGCCCACGGCAGCATTGCTGGTGAAAACAGGAAAATATGCTGCCCTCCACTTCGCTTTCTCCCAGGATTAGTGACCATGTCTTTTTGCCAATTTCTTTTTACTAACTAGATATTGAGGATAGAGGATCACGAGAAACAGCATCCCTGATTGCCCAATCTAATTCCAAAAGTCCAACACCAGTGTCCACCAATGTCTACCATATAAAACAGAAACAAAGTACAGCACTCACTTCACATTTCAGATGAAAATAGGATACATGATTTCAAAGCAGTTCATGGTAGAGGCTGCTAAATCCAATTTCCTACTAAATCCAACTACCAAAGCCATCACTCATTGGACTTGGCATCAGGAGAATTGTTTTCTAGTCCAAAATCTACCATTAATTACATCTTCACCAAGTCCCAGCCTGCTAGTTTGAAGACGGTTAACAATACTGAAACAAAGACATGATTTAGAGCAAGTAAGGGTTCTCAAGAGAGGACTGGGAGACTTCCGGGAAGATAGGCAGTGGGTAGCCCAGCAAAATCATCTGTGAGGCTTTTCAAACTACACCGGGTTTAAAACTGCTCTGAAAATCTCCCGCCCCAAACCACCCCTTGAGAATTACCACCAAAGAGTGAGCCACTGTTGCTATCATCATTGGGAATTTGGAAAACGCAGAAAAGTTTTTCCAGATTTCAAGCGTAAGCTTGCTGAGGAATGGAACCAAGATGTACTATGCTTCTTAGTGACATCCACAGAATCTAATACAAGGTAATCCTGTATTACTTACTTTTCCAACCTCAGCTCCTTTTCTCCCCTCAGCCACACCCTAGGCGTCTCCCACGGTATTGGACTTCTGATTACCGATCTATGCCAGACCTTGCATCACCTGTCCCCACCTGTGGGAGACAGGATTTGTTGCCTACCTAACAGCCCGACAGGCAGTCTCACTTTCTTCCTTGCTAACAGAATTCTGATTGTGTTCAGACACAGGGCATGGATGTGGTCAGGACAGGTGAGTTCTCCTGCAGCTCTAGAAAATAGCTTGGGCAAAACAATCATAGGCCCCCTCTTCTCCTTTGCCAGTGACTGGTTTCAGGGTAAGCATGAAACCACTCTGGACAGTGACACAGAGAACTTGGGGGAAAATGTATCCTTTGTTATCTAGAGAAAGCCTAAGCAGCATGCCCTGCCCTTCTTTTTTCTACTTTGAATGTTGTCACATGAAGGTATGATGAAGCTCTAGTCACCCTGGAAAACCAAGATAATTTTCTAGAAGCCACCCAAGAGCTGCGGCCAATTTGAACAACCTACCTTCAGATGTTCTAAGCAAGCAGTAGAGTAATCTAAATAATGTGACAACAAAAAGAATCTTAACACACGGCCTGGAAAATCTCAGCTTTTTCCTCCAAGAGCAGCCCTTCTCATCTCCAATTCAAAGTTCAACTATAGTTTCTTTGGGGAGTCTTCACTATGTCCCCAGACAGATAATGCTATCACAGTCTAGCTGGAGAGACAGATGTACAGATAGCATTGTCTATACATCTATGTTATCTATACATCTGTCTTTCCAACTAGACTGTGAGCTTCTCAAAAGCAAGCATTTTCACCCTTGGCAGAGGCCCTGGCATACGTTGAGCATTTATTAAATGTCGAATGAATGAATAAACAAAAAACAATGAAGGAAAGGATGGACACACAGGATGCCTTCCATGCATTAGGTAAAGACTTGACTGACAGAATGTGGCTCCCAGGCTGTCTACAGTCTACTGCAGACTTCCTTTAGGTGCTGGCAAGCAAAGACAGAGGTAGCGCAATGGACATGTCCTATTTTGTCAGACTTCTCATCGGGAATTGCACCCTCCCACTGGCATCCCCTGCAGCTGAGGTGGGGCAGTCTGTTACAGTGGGTCATGTGCCCGCTCCTGTTGTGGAAACCCACTGCCTATCTGCTGAGACGGCTTGGCTCTGCTTTGGTCCAGTATGTCTTTAAGATTACTATAAGGGACCGGGTGCAGTGGCTCACACCTGTAATCCCAGCACTTTGGGAGGCCAAAGCAGCAGATTACTTGATGTCAGGAGTTCCAGACCAGCCTGGACAACATGGTGAAACCCTATCTCTACTAAACATACAAAAATTAGCAGGGTGTGGTGGTTACAGCTGCTTGGGAGGCTGAGGCAGGAGAATCGCTTAGACTTGGGAGGTAGAGGTTGCATGCTGAAATCGTGCCACTGCACTCCAGCCTGGGCGACAGAGTGACACTCCATCTCAATAAATAAATAAATAAATAAATAAGATTGCTATAAGGATGAAGAAGATGGGATTCTCTCTCTCCGTCTCTGTCTCTGCTCTGTCTCTCTCTCTCTGAAAGAGCAGATAAGCCTAAAGGTGCAACTGCTATTTATTGCTTCATACTAAGCACCAATCAACACAGAGAGAAAAACAGCCAAGATATACCTGAGAGAACTGGCCCGGGAACCTCACAAGAGCCTCTGGAACTCGCTAGAGCTTTAAGCCAAAACCCTCCACCTTTTCATTTATGTGACCCAATCAATTTCTATATAGTGTAAGGCAATTTTCAAGTGACCAAAACCAACACAAAGAAAATAATTCTGACAAATCCGATGGGTAATGATGAGAGCCGTCTGACAACGCCCCCTCCATCTGCAGGGCCTGTGCACTGGCAGCCCTAACCTTGGCCTCTGGAATGGTGTCAGCAAGCAAGGCACCCTGGAGGAAGCCTAATCATGACAAAGTCAAGGTGAGAAAGAATGCCCCCACCCCACAACACACATATACCACCACCGCCAGCGTTCCCTCTTAAAGGATGATAACCCGAGCCTCCTGGATCTTCCTTCTGTTCAGAACCGCGTGGGGACCTCTGGGAGGCACACTGTAATGTTACATCAACACAAAGGGGGAAAAATCAAGCAGTGTGTGCTCTGCACTCCATGAACATCAGATAACCTAAGGCTGTTGTGATGATTGTAATATTAATAATACCTATTTTACTTTAAGGGAACTGAGGCTCAGAGCAGTTAAGTAACTTGCTCAAGGTCACATAGCTAGTTACTGGAATTTTAATGGCATTCTAGACTTTTCTCACTTTCCCACCCTCTGATCCCGTGGCCTTGGGAGGTGGACAGCACCCCTCCACCCACCAGCTCCCCTCAAACGCCGCAGGGCATACAGAGCTGCTGCCTTGACAACCTAACCCCTTGGAGTCAGCGTAGCCTCCAGACCCAGCTTTCGGGAAACCCCAGGTAACCAATGCGTAAGGTCGGTTATTCAACAACAAAAGTAAAGAGCCGGAGCAGGGGGAGCGGCGACACCCGCGTGGGCCCCGCGTGAAGCGCCGCAGAGAGAAACACTGGAGCTCGCTCGCTCGCTCGCTCTTGGCCCCACGATCCGCCTTGAACCCCCGCCCCAGCTCCGCGCCTGTTTGGCCCCCAGTCTCTCCTCTCCCCTCGGCTCTGCCGAAGTCACTGGCCCCGCAGCGCCCTGGGCGTTTAGAGACCCAGGCAGCTCCAGCCTGGCCCCGGCCCCGGCTCCCGCCCCGTCCAGCTGTAGGCAGCTGTTCTCCCCGAGGCGGCAACCGGACCCCGACCCGCCACTGCGCCGCCGCCCCGCGAGCTCCTGGCTGCCCCGGAGCGCCGGGCAGGGACGCAGCGCGTCTCCCGCCGCTGCCGCGCGGCCCCACACTCGCTCCGGCGCGGGGTGAGCAGTCCCCGAACCCACCACCGCCCTCGCCCGCTGCGCCGGCCCAGCTCACCTCGCCGCCCACGCCCGCCGGGCCTCTCGGCGCCCTCGCCCGGCTCCCAGCGCCGGCTCCCCGCGCGCCCGCCTGGGGCTGGCGTTGGCTGCGGCCGCGCGGGGCGGGGCGCGGTTCCTCCCCGCCCTGAGCCACCTGGGGCGCGGGAGGGGGCCGGGCCGGGACAGGTGGGGCCGGGCCGGGACAGGTGAGCCCCGCCCGCGAGGGAGCTGCCCCGGGCCCAGCTCCGCTGGGAAAACGCAGGGCTCCGCCACGGGGCTGAAGGGAGGCCCGGGCGGGCGGCCGTGTGTTCGCAGCCAGCGCTCGGGAGGCGGCGAGGGGCTTGTTCCCACCCAGCCAGCCCCGCTTGGGAAGTGGAACACAGCACGCGAATCGGACCTGACCGAGCTTGAAGAGGGGGGAGTCCACCCCCTTTCTTTCTGGGATGTAGCAGCGCAGAGTGCAGACCCTCGGGAGTGAAAATGACTGGCCCAAGGGTGCGTGTGAGTTAGTTCAGAACTGGAAGAACTCAAAGACCTTTTTTGACCATTCCATCCAATCTTGCTCACCCCTCAAATGATTCCCCCCCTTTTTAAATAATGAAATTAAGCTATAAATAAGATAATTTCATATAGTGATGTCCTCGCCACCCCTGGACGGAGCCCCAGGAGGGGCAGGAAACTTACCTGTCCACTACTGAATCACCAGAGCTTTGGAAAGCGTTTAATACCTGATGAACAGACTAGGTGCCGCCCAGTCTTTTGCATCCAGCCTTAAGCTGGTCCTCTCGGCCAAGAGCTGCTCCAGCATCATTCCAAGCTTACTAGGGAGAATCTGGAGCCAAGCTGTCGGCTTCCAGGCCACCTGTTTTCTCTCTACCACTTACCCCACACCCACTGCCAGCCAGGCAGCTGGCTTGTGGGAGGTCTACACTCCCAGGGCACCTTATAAGCCGTCAAGCAAAACTTTAACTTCTGAGGATGCCACAGACAGGAGAACTCTGAAATATAACACTGTCTGGCCAGCCTCGCACTGTGGAAACAGCCACTGACCCAAGATCCCACAGCTGGTAGCAGAGCTGATCCCGGGTCTGCATTTCTAAAGACAATCCTGGGCTGGGCTGGAACCTTTGAAGGGCTGCTGGTTATGCCTGCAGTGGGGAGATCTGGGGACAGAACTTCTGCAGAAATGGGGTCGAAGTTTGGTCCTCTGCTGAGACTTCTAATCTGTCTTTCCAGACCTCTCAGGTCAAGCATTACCTGAGCCACATGCATTTATTGAGGCCCCTGACAACTGCAAAAACAAAAGCAATGGTATTTTTAGGTGTTCCATTTAACAAATGGCTTTCACACACACACACACGCTCACACGAGGTAATGTGTCATGCTGCTTGCTACTCACATGTTAATTTCTAGTCTCATTAAAAAAAATCTATTCCGTGAAAAAATTCATTTCACTGCAGGAAACACTGTACAACTTTAAAGTTGTATAGAGAACATTCCTTCTTATGACTATTTCAGTACACTTCTGTGACTATATATTAAAGCTCTGAGGCTAAAATGGGAGGATCTCTATTAAGGTGAGGTCAGGGCCAAGCAGCCTGCTCCACCCCTCCCCTGACAACAAGCCCAACACTCCTAAGGTCTAGACACCCCACCCCTTCAGTGGGTTCTGCACAGATGGGTATTTCAGATCTGGTGTTTCCCGGCTGGCCACGTCACATTGGGCAAGGCCAACCTAGAAAAGGTTATATGGGATGCCCCACCTAGGTGTGCCCTACCTCAATTGCTAATCCCTCTATGGTGGCAAGGAGTCTGGTGTCCCAGGGTGGGGCTGTGGCAGGGCCTGCCCTTTGGGACAGCCACTTGCACCAGCAGGTATGGCTGAGCAAGGGAGCCCCTCTGGGTCTCACTCACATGAAATGGGCCTAGACCTTTTTATGTGTTGGTTTCAGTCAGTAGAGCACGTGATTCCTTGTGATTTAGGATCCTCCTACCGTGCGTGTGATCTTGGCTGGGCCAGCCTGCTAAGTGATGCCACCTAGACAGGACTGAGAATCATCAGGAAGGTACAGGTTCTGCCCCAGTTCTTGCTTGCACGTGATCCCTCCCTCCCTACCCCACTCTGTCTCCCGGGCTTGCTGAGCAGCCTTGGGTGTGTTCCTCAATTGTGCATTTCTCCCACTTGGAAAATGTGCAGCCATGAAATCAGACAAGGTCTCCACTTGAAGTTTTTTTGTTTAAAAGGGGTATCTGAAATGAGAAGCTTTGATACTGCTGTGAGGCAAAGTGAAATAATCCAAGTAAAGTGCTTGAGCACAGCACCAGCACAAAGCATCTGCTCAGTAAACAGTAGCTCTGCCTAGCAGTGCAAAGAGAGCCAGCCCACATCTGATCAATGTTAAAACGCTAGAAATAGGGACAGAACCATTGACAGGCTTTGTAAGATTCAGAATGAATGAATTAATCCTTGCAAATAGCTGTGTTTATTGTTATTCTCTACTGGTCCCTGGGAGAATGATATTTGAACTAGAAAATCTTCAGCTTCTACTTAATCTCTAGTTTTCTGATAGCATAGTGAAATATATATTATCCAAAGAAGCAACAATCCAAAAAACTTCTGAGCTTTAGGATATATTTACCTTCGTATTTTTTTCTGTCTTTACTTAGGACCCAACATGTATATTCGTACTGTGTATCTAGCTAGGCATGGGGGGGATGGGCACCTGTAATCCCAGCTACTCTGGAGGCTGAGGCAGGAGAATCACTTGAACCCAGGAGGCAGGGTTGTGGTGAGCCAAGATGGAGCATTGCACTCCAGCCTGGACAGCAAGCATGAAACTCTGTCTCAAAAAAGCAAAACAAAAAAAATACTGTATATCAGTTTCTGAGGACATTTTTCAATGAGACAATGTGTGTAGCATCCCTGGCACATAGTAGCTGCTCAGTTAATTATGACTAATATAAGGAAGTATAGGGAAGTGGTCAGAAATATTAGGAGCAGAAAGTGCTATGAATTCAGGTAGGCAAAACTGATAACCACTTTATCAGGCAGCCCAAAATTTAAATTCACACTGGCTCTGGAATCAGACTGTTTGAGTTCAAATTCAGCCACAACCTACATACAATGCATGTTAGTCACTCTATGCCTTGGTGTCCTCATCTATACAATGAGATAATATTAGAATTTCATTGAAAAGCTGAAAGACAGAAATAGCGTAATAACTGACCTTTAGTGAGCAGCTGCTTCATGTCTGGCTCAGATGAATGCTTGTATTCTCTTTCAAGGGTTGACCTTAGAGTAGGAATTCTTAATCAAGGGCCACAGACCCTGCAACTAAATTTGATATTCTGTGTCTGCATACATTTTTACTAAACCGAGCATCTACAGCTGTTGTTAGACTTGCAGACATTTGGGTCTCAGGAATAGTTAGGAGTCACTGCCTTCCAGACATAGCTGGGACAGGAGTTTTGGAGTTGGAAGATGTGTTAGAGATTTTTCAGACCACCATTCTGCATTGAGGGGGAGGATCACTTGGGTGTCTGGTCATGACAGAGTTCACGCCTAAACATTCTCATTTGGGAGAGCAGAGTGGCTTTTGAATGAGCACTCCAGGGGCTACTCACCTACAGGCAAGCCTGGGAAACTGATCCTACCCAACCACCCAACCTTCTTATTTCACAGGTCAGGAAACAGGTCAGAGATGAGGACAGCTCGAAACAGCTCCCACCCCACGTTGGCCAAGGAAGCTCCCTTACCTCTAAGTCAAGGCTTCACCCCACCTGAACAAAGGAGGAGAAATGTCATTCCTTCCCACAACCCCAGTTCACACAAGGAGCACTCTGAAAATAAAATCGGGCTTCTCTTAGGTGGATAATAAATTGTGCAGCTGGCCAGACACAGTGGCTCACGCCTGTAATCCCAGCACTTTGGGAGGCTGAGACAGGTGGATCACTTGAGGTCAGGGGTTTGAGACCAGCCTGGGCAACATAGTGAAACCCCATCTCTACTAAAAATACAAATATTAGCGAGACATGGTGGCGGGTGCCTGTAATCCCAGCTACTCAGGAGACTGAGGCAGGAGAAGCACTTGAACCTGGAGGCAGAGGTGGCAGTGAGCTGAGATCGCACCACTGCACTCCAGCCTGGGCAACAGAGGGAGAGTGTTCCCCGCCACCCCATCCCCTGCCCAGAAAAAAACAGTGCAGCCTCTGTGTTAAATCTTAAGCAAGCCTAGACCCCTGTTGACACAGGATTGCTAATACATCACTCCAGCCAGTGGGCAGGGGTATGTCCTCTTACACACACACGCACGCACACACACATTCCTCGTTGTATGCATCATTACTGTTTGAACAGCTGAGGCTATTCAGGGATCACGTTCAGGTAATAGCCTGCAAAAATGTAAACGTGTTGTCCCGCTTCCTAAAGCCACACACTAATTAGACTCTAACCAGGGGACTTCAGTGGTGCCATTTAGTTGTGTGAGCCCCGTAGTGGGAAATACTTCTTTCCATGCAGATTTCAGCAGGAACTGAGTCTGAAGCACGAACAAGGCAGGCAGCAGCCGCAGCAAGAGTAGTTATCAAAGTTATGCTTCAAAAATGTCTGTGCTACCTGTGACACTCAAAAAAGTCAGCTCCAGAATAATCAGACAAAATTCAGAGTCACCTCTTATCGACCAGTGAGATTCTCTCCAGGCTTACCAAGGGCAGGCAAGGATGTGTGTTTCTTTGGGTTTTTGATGTTCACCAGTCAGAGTCCTGATGTAGCAAAAGGTTGAAATAACTTTCCCGAAGTGAGTTGGGCATACCTCTCACGTACGAGGCCAGCAAACAGCTTTTCCAAAGAGGCAGGCTGCAGCAGCCCCATTTCACTGAGAAGATGACTCTAAGAAGAGGCAGGTGGCCTGCTCAGGCCTGTGCTGGACCCTGAGGTTGGGCAGCAAATCAGCTTCTCCATATTTATCCCTCAGTGTTACTTTTTACACTCTCGGGGCCTGTGGATCCACTTGAATTTGCTTGGCTGTTTAAAACACACCAGCCGGGATGTACCAGTCCTCTTTTATCTGGGTTTCAAAGCAGGCACTGAAGCATGGGCTACAGATGTATGGGTCTGCTCAAACATTGCGGGCTACAAAAATGCGCAAATGCCTTTGACGTTGTATTTCTAAATCCAGGAAGGAAGTTGTTGATTATTCCAATTTGCTTATTCTGAAGTCAATACAAACACCCTCATTTTTTGTTTTTGTTTTTGTTTTTGTTATTTTTGAGAAAAAGTCTCACTCT